GCCGGCGATTACCGAAAAAAACCGCATTTTTCTGCAATTCCTCTTCATTGGACTGGTTTTCGGCTAATTAGCAAAACAATAGGGCTACAAATAAATTTTGCAACAAAAAAAGGCATATTTTCCAACTAACTGGAGGTAATTAAACGGCTTTTTTGTTTTTCACGCATGCGCAGAAGCCAACTGTTTTTTTTTTGGCGATCTAATTCAATCTTTCTCTCTCGCTCTCCTTTTTTAATTTTCCTTTGCCTTTCTTCTTTAGCAGTATTGTTGTCCACTTTATCGTCTTTTTTTGCATGGAATTGTGGCTGGTCAACTTTTTAGGAAAGGGACAGATTTAATCTTCAAAGAGTAGTAGGTAAACAAAATGTTATCATTTTTCGTGAGTGTAACTCTGTTAGGATTGGTCAGAATATTCAAAACAAGGCACCACTGGAAAGATTTATCTTTGCTGATGTTATTGTTTACCGATTTATTAACTTCAACTGAACGCTAAGTGGGTCCAGGAAGGAAAATATGCATCGTTCCATATGGAACGTAAACGACCAAAGCAGTCTTGAAGGGTTAAAGTGTACGCTAGTCACAATGGCAACAACTTTCAGCACATGAACAATCTCGCTCGAAATGATGTACTGCAATTGAAGGATTCAAGAAACAACATCAAACAGATTAGTTAATCATGATTTTCAATCCATTATCTAGCTGCTGTAGCAGATTCTGAGGCAGAATAACATTTCATTTGTTGGCTTATTATTAACAAAACCCAGCCCAGTTTCACTTGAGTTTTGTTTGAACATTATAAGTAAAATCGTTTTTTTGAGGTCTATAATGACGGTCGAACCGCTCTGCAGCGGCCACCTTAGGGACAGAAGGAGGTGGCCGTTGCAGAGAGGTTCGACTGTATTTTTTATTCAGCTTCCGAGTGTTTCAAAATAAAATATTTGACGAGTGACTTAAATTGATTTGTCTTAATATGTTAACGTTAAGGTGTGAGTAACCATGTATATAAAGAAAAATCAAGTCAATGGTGGGATATTCAGGGTATAGTACGAGAAGGCATTGCATAACTCATTCCTGCCACTTATCGTGACGGCGCAAAATTTATAAACCTTGACATCACAGGTAAACTCGAAAAAAGTATCTTTTCATCCTAAATTTGAGTTTAGTCTGTAAACACCACATAATCAAAGGTTACTTCACCAGCATCCAGAAGAAAATGACAAGCAAATGCGAATGAATGCACTTGGGGGAGAATTAAGTTAGGCTTGTTTGCTCTCATCATTGGTCGTCGAAACACCAGTTAAGTGGTTTGGTTTGCTGTTTCTCGGTCTCTGCTAATGAAATCCTAACAGATTTTATAAGCTGACGACTTACCTCTTAGAGGGTCACTGCTCCATCTTCTCTCGGACTTACTAGCTGCTATCATTGACAAAGAGAGAGGAGGGAGAAAGTGCAAGAGGAAAATTTTAATGCCTGAACTCACAGCAACTTCACTGAACTGGAAGCTATTCCAGTTTTAATAAAGATATGATCGTCGCAGCTGTAATTACGTTTTAAGCAACTGCAAATTGACCCGAAAAAAAACATTCAGGGATTTGACGGGAAAAGAGCCCATAGTCTTCGTTAGCGCTGCAATGGTTTACCAACGGAATTATGAAAAACTTATATGCTTCTCTTCCCCCACCCCGAGTAAGAATACTTGGGACACCCCTACCCCTACCCACTAGTCTATTACGAGCGACGGTCAGGAAATATTGACCATTGAATGGCAAGAGTTGAAAAAACGATTTCCTTCACTTTTTGTCCATAGATAGCTTTTAGGTAGATAAGTAATCTGATGTAAGTTGTTCTCGCAAAAAGACTTTTATTTTCGCGAAAAGTAAGAATTCAGTTTTCGTGGTCGGAGTCTCAAAATGGCCGTATTTTCAACCCGAAATTTGCTAACATCAACTCTCCTTGCGTTCGCAAATAAAGCGGCAAGGAGAAATTTGGACACTTTCCATTAATAGAACAACTCCTCTTCTTTCACTAGAAGATACTTTTAAAGCAATATCGAGACTCGTTGAACTGACATATTTCAAAAACGAAGAACAGGTTTTTACGGTGACAAAAACTTTAATTTAGTAGTTGTTTTCTGCGGCATTATTTTTCATGTGGTATAGCTCCAAATTTTCCCAGTCCTCGTTTATTCACACATTTAGACATTTATCTAAAACATGGGTTCCTGAAGGCAGCCTCCAAACGAAAGTATCGAAGTCCGTTAAATATAGTGAAGCGTGAGCTAAGTAACTTATGTAACGGCTCCAAGTTTCCTCGATCGTAAAGAAACAAGACGAAATATCTTCCTGTTCCGTCATCCTTAGCGAATTACCTTATTTTTCGATAAAAAGTGAGTACCAGAATACTAGCGCGTTTGATTTTTTTCTTCTTCAAAATACTGTCGGTATCATCCTCGGAGACCCAGGGGCAGATAGTGGGGGCGAGGGAAAGTCTAAACGGGCGGAAAAACACAAAAGTTTTCTGACACCAATCAGAAGTCAGAACGGAGGCGACCGTTTGGAATTGGTCTGGTAAGACATTGTCCCCAGGGGCTCTTCTCGCCGTTCTTTACTTTTCTTCGTGCCATATTTTCCCGCCCGTTTAAACTTTCCCTCGCCCCCACTATCTGCCCCCGGGTCTCCGACGATGTGTGGGTATTGAAAATGTTCCTCTTTCAAGAATTGCATTGCGTTACTACCGTGATTCCGTGACTGTCGTTTTGAAGGCTTCGTGTCTTCAACCGTAAGTTATGTCACGTGCAGTCACGGAACAGATTGTCACGCAGAGTTACCGGCTGGTAGAGTTCACTGTTTGAAAATGGCGCACTCTTCTCATCAATATAATTATGGTTAGGATCGCTGTTTTTCTTGGTAATCGTCTTGGTAAATTGACCCAGTCTCACCTTTTTACCCCACTCTTTGATTGAAGAAAGCAACTTTGTAATGGGAAAACCTACAAGAAGTACGAAAAACGAGCCTTTAGGCTGTAAATATCTACTTTTCGCGTTTCGCAATTGGACACTATTACCGCCGGCCTACTATGAAAATTCCTGAACTTCGATGGTGTCTTACAGAGATTTCCTTCAATAACCCAAGCCAATTCCCATGTATGTTTTATATGAATGTCCAATTGTGTGATTTAAATGGCATTGAGAGAATTTGGAGTTATACCACATGTTAAATATTGCCGTCAAAAATGGGTAACGAACTTAAGGTGACTCGACCAAGTTTTTTTTTTTTTTTGGGGGGGGGGTACCATCCTACTTTGAAGCTCTCTGGTATCCCCATCTTTACTTTTATCATAAGTCTAACAAATAGAAAATTTTTGGCGATCGGAGTAATTGTCACGTGGTTATAATGCCACGCCCCTTTGACGTCTGAGTCGAAAATCTGCTGTTGCCGGCATTTTTTCTTGAAAATCTCTCGGCTACACATAGTGCGCATTAGTGCCTTTCGCTGAACAGAGTTTCACCAAAATCGCAAAGACCCAATTCGAGAAATTCAGCGGTTTCCAAATTTAGGTCATAATTTATGCGAAAATGATAAGCAAACTTTACACGGATTATATCTAATAAACTATGAGATTCATCCCTTTATTTTGGGCATCGTTATAACAGATGGGTCCTTGCAAGTCAGCAAAACGCTTTAGGGCCTTGTAAATGCGCGCGATTTCGAGCAAAGCAAACATATAGAAATTATAGTTTTCGCTATTTGTCGACGTTTGTCAGCGTTTGAGAGTCCCTCTCACGAAAAAAGCATTTTCTTAAAAATTCGTAGCTTTTTTTCCTTATCTTCTATAAGCCCAAACTTGAGTAAACATTGAAGATTTTTAGCGTTTTGGCTGCGTTTGTGCTTTGGGAGTTGTCTATTGTTTCTAGTCTGTCATGATACAGCATTCTTGTTCAGCACGCGTGCAATGACCGCGCTTGGCTGACTTCCGAATGCTCATCGAGATATGATAATTTTGGTACAGTGAGAAAGGCCATCGCGTGATACATAGAGGTTTAACTCACAATTTTTAATCAATTCTCGTGTTTCTTGTGCCTTTGCAAAAAAATCAAGAAGTGCTACTCACTAAATCTACTTACTATTAAAAAAATATCATTTTTTCATAAGTTTAATGCAAGCCAATAATTAAACCAACTCGTGACGGGAATCCCTTTTATTTTCTCATACTAAATTATCATATCTCGGTGAGCATTCGGAAGTCATGCTCAGCGAAGCGTGGTCATTGCACGCGTGCTGAACAAGAATGCTGTATAATGACAGACCAGAAACAATAGACAAACTCCCAAAGCACAAACGCAGCCAAAACGCTAAAAATCGTCAATGTTTACTCAAGTTTGGGCTTATAGAAGATAATGTCACAGTTTTTCAATGACCATGAAATTCAGGGTAGTTAGTTAATCAATTGTGGCCCTGAAAAAATTTGAAGGAAAAAAAACTACGAATTTTTAAGAAAATGCTTTTTTCGCGAGAGGGACTCTCAAACGCTGACAAACGTCAACAAATAGCGAAAACTATAATTTCTATATGTTTGCTTTGCTCGAAATCGCGCGCATTTACAAGGCCCTAAAGCGTTTTGCTGACTTGCAAGGACCCATCTGTTATAACGATGCCCAAAATAAAGAGATGAATCTCATAGTTTATTAGATATAATCCGTGTAAAGTTTGCTTATCATTTTCGCATAAATTATGACCTAAATTTGGAAACCGCTGAATTTCTCGAATTGGGTCTTTGCGATTTTGGTGAAACTCTGTTCAGCGCAAGGCACTAATGCGCACTATGTGTATCCGAGAGATTTTCAAGAAAAAATGCCGGCAATTAACAGCAGATTTTCGACTCAGACGTCAAAGGGGCGTGGCATTATAACCACGTGACATTTACTCCGATCGCCAGAAATTTTCTGTTATATTGTAGATTGATGTATATGTTATCCATTCTATGTGTTAGACTTACGACAAAAGTAAAGATGGGGATACCAGAGAGCTTCAAAGTAGGATGGTACCCCCCCCCCCCCAAAAAAAACTGGGTCGAGTCACCTTAAGTTTTTGTTATGATGAAAAAACCTGTTTCTCGTTTTTGAATTATTTCAGTACGACGAGGTTCGCTATTGCCCTGAAAGTATCTTCTAGTGGAAGGAAAAGCATTTTTCTGATCATGGAAAGTGTCCAAATTTCTCCATGCGGATTCGTTTGCGAACGCGAGGAACGTTGATGTTAGCGAATATCAGATTAAAAATTAGGGCCGTCTGAGACTCCGACATCGGAAACCGATTTTCTAATTTTTCTCACAAATAATAGGCTTCTGGCGGGAACAATCTACATTAGGTTTCTTATCTACCTAAAAGCTGTCTATGAACAAAAAATGAAAGAAATTTATTTTTCAACTCTTGCCACGAAATTAAGATTTTGGTCGATTTTTCCTGACCGTCGCTCTTACATGTTCGAACAAACGTACACTGATGTCACGACAAAAATTTGTCCCATCGGTAGTTTGCAATAAGGTAAGCCTAAAGGCAGAGCACTGGTTAAAACTATTTTGCTTATTCGAAGAATCCACCCTGCCTTAAATTTGTAATACTTCCATCACATTAATTCAGTAAGATGTTTTTATTCGAATCAAACATCAGTTCATCCATCGAAATTTAATATAAAAGGAAAAGTTGAATAATGTTGATAATATTACTTTGAAATCAGTACTTCACCAATTACGTAAAACGGTCAAAACAAATTATATACAGACACCATGCTGGCAAGATAACTTATTGGAATAAACGAAATTGTTATTCGGGTCTGATGAGGTTACAAGAATGTTTTGCTGTGATAAGCACGGAAATAGAAATGTCTCTGCCATATTAAACTTGATAAGAAAGGAAAAATACAACAAAAATCTGGGGAAAATTGTTGAATGTTTTGTTTTTCACTAACCTGAATTCCTGTGTTCACTACTGCTCATGTTTTATTCCAATCAGATAATCTTTCAATACCCTGAAAAAAGAAGCCGTAAAAAGAATAATTGAGAATACCGTGATCAATTTAAAAACTGGGCATGAAACTTCTGTCCTTTGTATACGTATGCATGAGCATCCAGGCGGGCTAGTCTTCTCGTGACTTTTGACAACACCCCAAATCACAGCCCGTAGAGTTCTCTAGGGAATTCTTGGTGGAAGTGTGCAGCCCACTTCGCCGAATCCAGACCATATTTTATACCAAAAGATGTCATTTTCCAGACCAGTTTTCAGACCTGGAGTGGTCACAAAACACAACATACAGATTACATAGACAAATATTGCTGAGATTAGAACGCCAACAAAAAGATTCTTAAAATCGGTTTCGAATTTGTATATATTACACTTTCTTTCTTATTCATTTGAAACTGAAACGA